AAAAAAAAAGGGACCCCCCACCCCCCCAACAAAAAAAAAAAAAAAAAAAAAAAAAAAAAAAAAAAAAAAAATCACCGGCAGCTGCTGAGGTTGTTAACTTAAGAGGTTAACGACACGCAAGAGCCACCAGAGTCCTCCCCGAGTCTTCAAGCCGGGGTCGACTTTTAACTCTGCAGCGCCTGTCCGAGGGTGATGTCAGCGCTGGTTGATGACGGGCTGGACTCTGTCGCTGAGTAAACTTTACGCACCCTAACCCTGACAGGAAAAAAAACCTGGACCCGTCTGTCTGGATGTGTTTGCGTTGGCGTGTGGGCGCAAACAACAGCTTTTCGTCATGTATGGTCCTCCCTATTTCCTTTTTGATATGGCAAGACATGAGTGCCCGGTATTGACAAAACCACAACACATTACCAAGGATTTTTGGTCTGGTTTCTAGTGCAAATGTCTTAGTGCGCCTGAAATAGGACAAAAACAGACTCGCAAGCATCATTTAAGAAAGATGTACGGGCCTGTTTTACGTCAATAATTCCTTAATATTTATGAAAAAATACTAGTTATAAGCGAAATAATCAGCCAGTGAAGCTAGTAATTCTTCATCAATGATAAGAAGTTATGTATTAACTTAAATTAAGCCCATAATGTTCGCTGAAAAGCTATTTGTGATTTAGTCTTATTTCAAACATACCAAGACATTTGCCCTGGAAACTAGACCAAAAATGGTAAGATTTTATGTTTTTTCGGTACATGAAAATTGCTGCTTAAAAAGTCAGGATGATTAAAAGTTGTCAGGGAAGCCACTTTTTAAGTCATGCCTGATGATGAGCAACTAAAAAAGTGGTGTTCCCAAGACACAGGGGTATTTTTTTTCCCCGTGTTCATGTGGCATGAAAGTTTTGATGACTTGATCAAACTGTACGTGCTGAGAAGGAGGCGTTCAAAACGTTGTGACTTGCTGGTGTAAAATATGGCCTTCTGTTCGGGGGAGGAGTTTGCCTTCTTTACAGCGTGCTTCGTTTTTTACTTCATTCGTCCGTCTCATGCAGATGCACAACGACTGTTTATGAAAAGGCAAAAAAAAAAAAAAAATTATGTTCTATGATCTGATAGAACGTTTTTCTTGGCTTTTCTTAAACAGGCAATGAAATCAATGAGGAGGGAGGTGGTCAAAATATGACTTGCTGGTGTAAAATACAAAGTTTTCACAGAGATTTTCCTAACTGACTAAACTTCACATCTTTGCCGATATTTGGCACTAGTGGCTTGCCGTATCTCAGACATCATTAGCCTTGACTGCAGTGCTGTATGCTTCATTAGAGGAGGTGCTCAGTCCCAAAAAAGAAGGGTGTCTGTCACAGCAGCAGATGAAACTTGCACACATCCAGAGTGGAAACTGCAAATATAAGCACAAATAAGCACCTATGTGTACACACACAAAAACCTCCCGCCTTCCCCACCATCTACCTCCCCACCACTCCACACACGTGCAGCTGCAGTAAATTCCCGCCTTGATGCTGTCGCCCTGGGCTGTGTGATAGCTGGGCCGCAGTGTCCTCGCTGAATATTCCACACAGCATTTTTATTCACAGCACAGCTGGTGAGAGAGGCCGGAGAAAACGAAAGCGCCTCGGCCAGCCCTGCCTCACCCGTTCCCACCTCTGTTATCCTCTCAGGTTAAAGCCAAGTCACGGGAATAATTTCTCTCCCCCTCGCCCGTCCCTCCCCCAATCGGTTGGTGAGAGTGGGCACAAAGATGGCACGTACATTAGTCACAAGCTGACTCATCTACAGATGGCGGCCAGTTGGAAAGTGATGATACTGTATTCCGGCTCTCCATCCAAACCTATATATGGGGCATCGTACCTCTGTAGGCCAGCCAATCAGGGAGAGCCATCTGACCGACGCCCCTCAAACTAAATTTTTTTTAGATGCTTCAGGAGATAAAGCGAACAAATAGCAACCTGCCTGTCTGTCTGAAAGCCGATCCGACGGCAAGATCTCCGATCGGTGCCAACTGGAGCACTCAGGAGTGTTTGTTAGATCTTGTCTGTCTGTCAGTTGGCGCATCACCCTCTATTTTTTATTTGTCATGCTTAGGATACGGTATCTCAACATCAAATCCAATAAAGTCTCCCCACTTCTTAGAGAAACCGGTCTGGACATGTCCAACCGCACTCAACGAGGACACACCCTGAAATACACACACACACACATGCCAGAGCAACGCTGGAACTCATTTCAACCAAGCAGGAGGGGAGGAATTTCACATGCGCAACACACACACACACACACGCACGCGCGTGCGCATACATACACACCTCGACAGCCAGGAGTCCAGGTTAAAGTCCGTCTTAACAGATTAAAAGCGGCGAGATGGCGTGGGCGGTGAGGGGATGGGAGTCGTTATGACGATGGGTTTAGCTCTATACATTGTGCACTGGTAGGAAAAGTCTAACAAAATACAACTGCTTTGTGAACTTAATCAGGGTTCGAGGAAATCTCCTCCATCAAAAATAGTAAGTAAGGCAAACATCAGAGGTGCGTAAGGGAGAGGAGCACGTTTTTCCACACACTGTGTAAAGATACCTGAGCTATCTGGAGAGATTCCCTGGCCCAGCAACGGCGGGATGGTGGGGAGGCAGGGCCCCCCCACACGAAACGCGCACAGTGGCGCACACGTACACACACAATGATGTTTTTTTTTTTTCCTTTCTTACTTGCTCACCAGCGGCGCCCCCACCCTGCCTGCCTGCTTCCCGGCCGGCTGTGTGCTGGGATGGTGTGTTTAATTGGGTGTAGCACAGGCTGTACTTCGGGGAGCCGAGATAAGTTATATCCTGTCCGTTAGCAGGGACAGGGAAGCTAGAGGTCCATCTGTTGGTCCAGTCCAGACTTTCCGGGAGTGGTTGGGGTCGGAGGGGAGACGCATACGGGTGGGGAGGTGAGGGAGGTGAGGGAGGAGAGGGACGACGGTCAGGGTCTCTCATCAGTCAGCTCCCAACCCCCGCTGGTGACTGCTCAGTACGTGTTTCTCCAGATTTGTGCAGCAGGTGGTACAAATAACAAGGAGGGGGGCGAGGGGTGGCTTCAAGTCCCCACATCCCCACCCCCCCCTCAGAAAAAAATTCAAAGGAAATCGTTCTTCCCAAGAACGTAAATCAAGCGCTCCTCTCTCCTGGCCGTCGCTGCTGGCTCCCCCGGAGCGCGTCAGACCTTGTAGTAGATGTTGGCAGGGCTCTGCGGCGGCATCTCCTGGACGATGTAGACCGGGTGACCGTAGTCCCCGCTCACCTTCTCGTAGTGGGGGCAGTAGTTGTTCTCTGTCCGCAGGGGGATGATGATGTCGCTGGGCTCGGTGCCGGCCGTGCCGCCGGGCAGCTTGGGGTTGGACAGCGTGCTGAGTGACAGCGCCGACGGGCGGGCCTGCGAGTGCGCGTTTTTCCTGGAGCGCTTGCGCATCTTGATGAGGAGGATGACGAGGAGCAGGATGAGCACGAGGAAGATGATGCATCCAATGGCGATGGAGGAGAAGACGGCCACCTTGGAGCTCAAGAAGCCGTCGGTGCTGGAGGAGGACCCGGGGTCATCTTGGATCTTGGGGCCTGCAGAGAGAGAGAGAGAGAGAGAGAGAGAGAGAGAGAGAGGGCTTAAGGAGAGGAACGTCACCAAAAGGCGGAGATAATTTATTCCTTTTCTGAGCTGCACAGAGGAAAGATTTTTGACAAATGGCAAACTATCATTCAGTTGTTTCCTGATGTACATCTCTACTTATTCCATGATTTGGACTTTACAGATTTATGTGAAAAACGTTTAAAGAATTTGATTAAATGAAAAAAATCTATTTCACCACATGTTTGGGAAAAGAACACATAACCAGGGCAGCAAGTAACAAGTAATTTAGTTACTTATCAATCTATCAATTCTTCTGACGATTAATCAATTAGTAAATTAGTTGACGATTATTTCAATAATGGATTCATTGTGATTAATCGTCTCAGCGGTACAGATAACCCACTAAGTTTTCTGCATTTTGTCACTTTACAGTTACAAACTTTAGTATGTTTTATTATAGAGGTTTTATACTAATAATTATTTTAGTTACTGATTAATCTATCGATTATTATGATAATTAACTAGATAAAAAATAAGCGCATCCTGTTGATTTTTCCTTTTACCCTTTTATACAATGTTAGAAATATATTTGTTGACTATTTTTGGATTAACCAGTTAATAATTGGATAGCAAAAGGTGCCTAAAAGGATATTTTGTTTTTACAGCATTTGAACTGGGTGAAGATAAAACCATGTCACATATTTAACAAAGGTCTTGTTTTTGTTTTAAATGCACAAATTATATATATTTTTTGTACAGTTTTGGCTTATTTATGACTCAGAATATGTTGTTCTTTCAGTAGTTGACCTTTTTTATTGAGTCTGTATATTCTGCTTACGATTACGAGACTAGTGGACAATTATTTCAATAATTGATTCATAACGATTATTCTGATTAATCGTGTCAGTCCTAAATTCAATCCTGTTATGTTTCCTGCATTTTGTCGCATTAAGCATACAAGCTTTATCTTATTTTATAAAGATTTTATATGCTATGCTAACACAAGTCATTGAGTGGGAAGGTGAATAGAAACGGACCAAAGTAGATTCTGTTTAGGGTGAATATCTTCCAGCTCTGTAGATATAAAGACAAAAAAATTCTCCAGTTCTTTTTTTTTTTTGTAGCTCCAGCTCAGCCAGACAGGATGGAGAGCATCTGTTGCCACAGATCCTTAAATGGATTCAGGTCTGGATTTTGACTGGGTCACTCAAGCACATGGGTATGCTTTGATCTAAACCATTCCAATTTGCGGCGTCAAACAGTATTTACTGCCTGTATGTCTGACCAGCCTCATTATTCGAGCTGAAGACGAGCATCCCAACATGACGCTGCCACCACCATGTTTTGCAAACACTGTACTTCATATAAAACTCATAGTTAGCCGAGTTGTATTCATATTTTGGGATTGTTTTTCAAGAATATAGACAATATTCAAGTATGGGAACAACTATTAAGGTATATTAAATTTCATTCATCATCTTCTGCACCCTACTTTAGTTTTTTGCAAGCTGTACAAAAAAAACATCTAATTGCTTTTTTCCACGGAGGCCAGATTTGTCAAGTGCAAGACTAATTGTTGCATCAGCAGATTTTTCCACCTGAGTGGTGCATCTTTCCAGCTCCTCCGGCGTTACCTTTGACCTCTTGGCTGCTTCTCTGATCAACTCGTCAGTTTAGGTGGGCAATGGTGTCTTTGTAGGTTTGTCAAAATGCTTAAAATCTCAGGATATTGTTGTATAATCTATCCATTCCATATCCCTTTACAATTATGCAGAACTCTGGTTTTGATCTAGAAGCCTGTGGTCGTAATGTGGAAAAACGTGAAAATGCATCAAGGGGATGTGAAGACTTTTTACGGCGACACTGAGGAGTAGCCGTAAAAAGAGCAGCGCACATAAAAGCTATCTGTTCTTTGTTTCCTTAATGTTGCATTTTAGCGGAAATATATGGAGCGACTGAAGAAAGAGGTCGCATCACCCTTTGCTCGTTTAATTTGAATATAAAGGAGGGTTGTTTTCTAACGTAACCAGAGAACTCTGATTGTTCGTTAGAGGAGACAATGGCTCTCTCCCCCCACCCGTTCCTCATACTCCTTTATGAGTAACTTTCAAGAAGTCCCTTAGAGACAGCCTCGCATTCACGCTCCGTCTGTCCTGACATGTGCAGACCATACTAAATCAACTCTGAGTGCATCCCACTTTCTTGTTTGCTCAACATGACTAACGGCCCCCTTGATGTAATCTAATTGAATAAGCTCAATCAAAGCAGCCCCGCCGCACACACACCCCATTCCCTCGCCAATGAAATCCGAAGTCGACACTCAGCACCGCAAAGATTCCCCCTCTGATCTTGTTTCCCCTTTTCCTTTTTATTTCGGGGGAGCGATGCGAGCGAGGGGCAAGTTGTTCGACATGTTTTGCGTGTCAGAGGCCAGGCGAGCAATGGAAAAACCAAATGTGGAGGGCACATCTGAACATCTGATTTTATTTTATCCTTTTGTTCGGGGGGCGGAGGGTGTGGGGGGTTCAGGATGGGATGGGAAAGGAACGGCTGGCTCCGCCGGTGACTGAAATCCGAGAGGAACCAAATCTGTTTTCCATGTATGCGTGCAGCTGCTGCCAAAGACCAGCGCTCACCCCCCGCACCAACCCCTCGCCTCAGCCATCACTCTTTTACTGTCCGTGACCCCTCCTCACCCTTGACACCCCCGCCGCCCCCCTCTTACCTCCACAGGCACACAAAAGTCTCATACCTCAGGAGCCTGCCAGCCCCGTTAATGACTGTGTCTCCGCACTCTGCCGGCCCCCGTTTGCACTTAACCATTTATTGATAAGGGGATAACCGCGCCTTGAGCCTCTATCGCAGCCGAACACCGTGATTGAAGGCTACCAATTCTGCTCTTATCGGGAGAAATCGGAGGCTGAGGGAACTTCGTACATTCTGAGTGAGCCGGGGAGAGAGGCTGTCAAGAAATTTCATTCCTGAAATATCAGCCCCCTCCACCCCGCCGCCACTCGTCCTTCATTCCACCCTCACTTGACATAATAACTGATCCAACAGTGGCAGGCAGGTGAAAAGCCCCAAGAATACAGGGAAAAGTGACATAGGGACATCTTTTTTTAGAGCAGCTAATGTCAAATAAGCAACTATTAAGAAAAGCGCCGCTTATCACATCAGGACAGGCGGAACAGTGTGAACAGTTTGTGGTGGACAAAGTTGTGGAGCAAGTCAAAAAAGTTCCCTGCAAAGCAGCCGCTCTTTGGGGAAAAGAAGAAGGAGGAGAAGTGGCTCCTGTGGAGGGAGGCAGTGGTGACAAAGAAGCAGATAAGAAATAAGAAACAGAGGCAGCTCAGATGAGATAAGCTCATCTTCATTTTGGGCCATACCAAGACAACAAGTGTTCTCAGACGGCCAGAGGTGCCTGGATGTGTAACGTAATTAAAAAACTATTAAAATATAAATAAATATCAGTGCCTGCATTCAATAAGTATGTCTTAGAAGAGTCTCCTCCACTCCGCTCCTTCAGACTAGCCACCAGCAATTAGCAAACACCTGATGGAACTACGAATCTGCTGAGCTTATTGTACGAGCTACTTCTCAGTGAGATTCTGGTAAAACTTTGTTAAAGAGTTAACAGAGGAGCCATGTTGTGATGACTTTCTGAAGTTTCAGAAAGAGCAGGAGTTTTTAAAGAGACACAGACCCGATTTCTAGGCTTATATTAGGGAGTAAAATTTCATGGACTATAAGTTGATATCAAGTAAGGCTGAGTATGAAATACTGCCACCTGCAGGTGGGAGTTAGCACTTAAAGCCAATGTTTTTACCCTTTATACAGAAAATTAGAAATAACCTCACAATTAAACATTAGCTCAAAAAAATGTGGAGATCTGTTGATTTTGCGGGGATTTCTGCGATCGCAAAAAAAGTGGAGTGACCAGTTGATATAATTTGGGAATAAACAGATTACAACTGCTTTGATTAGACTGATTTAAGTGCATCTCTAATGAGATTTAAGGCAGGTAATGTAATAAAAAGGTCTGTCGTCAAGTCTCCCAGCATGCAGCACACTCCCTGTGTGACTCAGGGCGAGCTGTATTTGTTTAGGGTGTGGTTTTATGTCTTTTCATCACAACCTGCATTTTGGAGAGTTTCACTCTATCCTGTCAGCAACTCTGGTTTTGCAAACACTCCAGCATGCTGAGTTAAGAGTCGCCTGAAGCGTGTCAGAGCCATATGAGGAATAGCATACTTTGAAAGGCTAAACTATTATTTTTAATTTTCTCCCTGGAGACCGAATGTGATGAATTACTAGCGCAGCCTCGAGGATGTAGGTGTTCTGTTTGAAAAAGTTTTTTTTTTTCTTTTTACATTTGCTCTCGAAGCTGAATGACATCATGTATTTATAACACAAGTGAACAGAAGAAGGGGAAACATTTAAAAAATGAGAGCAGCAGCCGAGATATCCATGGTAACAGTTGGGAGGACCTGCCGGGATCCGACGCTCAGGTGGAAGAATCTGTTGCCACAGCAACTGGGTATGCACTTCATAAATCCGGCCTGCGTAGAGGAGTGGCTAAATGAAGGCTAAAGTATTCAGCGTGTGATTTGCAACAACATGTGAACGAGTAGAATAAAGGGTGGTGGCAGCATTATGATGCGGGGGCATGTTAGCTGGGAAAAGGAAGCAACTCATGGGAAGCAGACATGTTTAAAGCTGCAAAAGGAAACCATGTCAAACTGGGTCAGAACAACAAACCCTGAAAAAAAACCAGCTTGTGCTGGAAACAATGTAAATCTAGTAGCAGACAGTATTTAGCCCTCTGGAGCCATATTAAGCCAAATTAAGTCTGGTCTTAGTTAAATCTTGTTGCATTTCTGACTCACCACTAATGAAGTCACAGAGCAATGCATTATGGGCTCTTATGGCTTTAAGGAGGCTCTTCTAACCCTTGGTTGAAATATTTATCAAAGGATGGAAGTGAATTAAAGTTTCATTTTGAAATGCACAAAACACCGACTGCCTTTTGTTGCTTGGAAGAAAACCGTGAATAGGATGTTCATCGCTAGCGACGGCGAAATGTTTTCAACTCGTCTTACGTCTCCAACTCAAAATTAGATCTGATTAAGGCTGAGACGATTAATCCGATTAATCGTCAATCAATTTAGCAACCGTTTAGTCATTCGCTGGAGTATACAGACTCAAAAATATATATTTTCTGAAAGACGAACACCCTCAGAGCAGCAATGGATACAAAAAATACAGATAATTTACATTTAAGATGAAGAAAAACACCATTGTATGTAAATGTGTTGTAACCAGAGCTTCTCAAGTGGCATAGTTTTAGCTTAACCTGGATTATATTCGGTAATTGTTGGATTAAGCGCCTTTTGCTTCACTGTACGGCTGTTAAGTCGAGACAAAAGGATTGAGCTTTTCACATGTTGACGTTGACAAGTCTTTGTTTAGCCGCAGATGCATCTTTTGCCACAAAGAATCACGTGTACATGAATGCTATGTTATTGCATTTTGGGCAACAAAATGCTTATTTTCTTATTTAAAATAATTGAGTTATTTGCATTTTTTTATGTATTTTGAATATTGTATAAAAAGGCTAAAGTGGTTAAGTGGAAAAGGTGCGAAATGTTCACATTTTGATTAATCATCAGAATAATTGATAGAATAACTGACAGTCTACAGTCACATTTACAATAATCAGTAGTTTCAGTTCAGATCTGGGGGGCAGAAGTTGGGTGACCAATACTGTGATACCGGATCAGTCGATTCCTGCGGTGAAACATGGTAGTGGCAGCATCATGTTGTGGGGACTGACGGGAGGACCGTCCCCAAAGACTTGATACAGGCAGAGCAACAATTATATGGTTCAGATTAACACATCCTCATGTGTTAGTAAGGCCTAGTCAAAGTCCAGCACCAAATCCAGCCAAGAATCCTTGAAAATGCGTCGCCGTGGATGCTCTTCATCCAATCTGACCGAGCTGGAGTTACTCAGCTCAGAAAAATGGGCAAATCCTTCAGTTCCTCGACAGTGAGGGCTAACGGCTGGGGTTGTGTGAATGCGCTCACCAGGGATTCCTGGCATCACAGGCCCAGTCTTACTCGGGTCGGGCGGACCGGAACTGCTGGTCTCCGGTATTGAGTTGTCCTCCTGGGTTTCCGGCGCCTCCGGGATCGCTGCGTCTGGGTCTGTGGGAAAACAGAGAAGAAAAGGAAAAAAAAGAGAGAGAGAGAGAGAGAGCAGACAAAAAAAGTCAGCCTTGGAAAGCCGCATGCGATGAATTACAATGACTTGTTCCTCTGCTACAGCAAAGGATTATGCTTATTATCTTTTGATATATCTTTTATACACAGAGACGGTTATCTTCGCCTGTGTCGAAACTGTGTCAGAAGGGAAGATGAAAGCAGAAAAAAAAAACAGAGGAAGGAGTTGGTGGGTTGGTGGGGGGGAATTTGCGAACGGCTGTGAAACACGCCGATATCCCTGTCCTGTCGTAAAAAAAAAAAAAAAAATGAGCTCACATCTACATCAGCAGCTCCTTCAGCAAACACTCAGACAGGCATTTCCAACACCGACACACTCGTGAGAGCCTCCCACACACACACATGCACACACACACACACACACACACACACACAGACACACACACACACACACACACACACCTTCAATATACTTACAATACACTCAGGCCTGGCAGAATGGGGGTAAAGTAGTTATATATTAACTTTTTATTGTTTTACATTATTCATCACGTTAAAAGGCCATAATATGCCTTATTTATTGCCCTGGCTTTAACTCTGCTAGAAGAGGCACACTTCGCAGGGGGCGGAGGGGGGTAGTGGGGTTATAAGAGGACCGGAAAAAAGGACGTCGTGGTAGATGAGGAGAGGAGAAGAAGGAGAAGAGGAGGGGGAGGGGGGCGTTGTAGCTCTGAGGGGAGCGCAGAGGAAACAGACAGTTTATCTGACTGTCTGTTGTGATTTCAGCACACACACTTTGAAGGCTTGGCTGCAGTAAACAGCGGAGGGTCTTCCAGCGGGTTTTTTTTTTTTTAACAAGGGGCAGAAGACAGTCAGACACTATTAAAAGATGGATTCCACAGGAGTCCATCAGATATTTCAGCCACGCTGCAGACCTTATCTGCATCTGCCCCAAGGCCCGCTCAAAGGGTCTGTGAGGAGAGAGAGAGAGAGGAGGGGGCAGAAAAAGGGGGCTCGTGGGGAGGCAATTTGTATTCGAGTCCCCCGTGGGAAGTGTGTGTGGCCAAGCACAGGCGGATGATAGGAAGGGGGCCAGTCATTCTGGCAGGAAATTTTCTATTTCCAAGCAATTATGACTAAATCCTGAGCCGAAATGAGAAATGATTTGGGTGTGGAAGGAAAAAAAAAAAAAAAAAAAAAAGAAGAAGGAATTGGACTATGGTGTCTTTCTTCTTCTTCTTTTTTTTATGTTGTTGTACGGGACGGTGGAGGCCCCTCTGCAGCTCCATCTTCTCCATGTCCCGACCGCAGCCTCGGCTCGGCGCTGATTGCAGCAGCGCCGAACTTAGCCGTGAGCTGTTGTGCCTTGTCAATAATTGATGAGAGAAAGACAGGAGTGAGAAGTGGGAACATTCACGCATGACAGAGGGGCGGAGGGGCGGAGGCGGTGGGGTGTGGAGGCTATGCGTGCGGACAACACTGATCTGACTCACTACGAAGCGCGCACACGCCGGGACGCTGAGCATGTGCATGCCGTGGCCTAATGTTCTGACCCTTTTTTTTTTTCCCTTTCTTTTTCCTGTGTGTGCTGTTTGACATTTTCCTTAGCTAGGCAGACAAGCAACTAACTCAGAAGTGCCAAGCTACCAGAAGGAGGGGAGAGGCTGAGGGGAGGAGGGGAGACGATGATGATGGAGTGACAGAGCGGAGAGACAGGGATGTCGGGAGACGTAGATGGAGGGAAAAACACGAGGAGGGAGAGATGCATGCGTGGCAGTGAGTCAACATATTTCTAATGAGCAAGGTGACATGGGAGAGAGACTGCTGAACAGCAGTGGATTTATAAATGATGAGCTTCCCATTCAGGCACTTTCTCTTCCTTTTTAGTGCTTTTTATTTTCTTTTTTTGCAGAAAAGAAAAACAGCAAAAAAAAAAGACAAAGACATTTAAATAAGTGACATAAAGAGCATGATTTTTACCATTTAATGCGATACACCAACGCATATTAGTGCGTAACGGTGAAATGGAACTAAGGCTAATGTATGGTTATCAATTGTTTACAATAAAATCTTTGAAGTGCAGTGTGCAGACGTTATTCTGACCCCCTCATCTGCTACAAAAAATACCATCACATTTCAGCTTTCAAGTTGTTGTTTTTTTAAGGGTTTTCTAGGAACTGGTCACCGTTACTCAATGGTGACTGGACAGGAACTACACAGCAAAAACATAAAATCTTAAAGTATTTTTACACAGATTCTAGAGTAAATATGTCAGAACTTTTTGTAAGACAAAGCTAGTCTACAATTCATTTTTCAGCAAGATATTGGATGGTGCTTTAAGTCAATAATCCCTTCAAAATGGTGAAAAAGTTTCAGTTCACCTGGCAGATTATTTCACTCATAAAGTGGGGAAAATATCTTATTATAAGTGAAAAAAAATCTGTAACATGACCTAAAATCAGCTCTTATATCTTGCTGAAAAGTTACTTGTAAGTTTGTTTTCTTTCATTTCAAGAGTACTAAAGTATTTGCGCTGGAAACTAGACCAAGCCTACTTGGTAAGATTTTGTGTTTTTGCAGTGTATGACCCAAAACCAGGAATAGGACCCAGGAGAACCAGATTGAGGACTTTTTCCTCTACAAACTGAGCCACCCAACACTATTCTTCCAGTTTCTTCTTTTTCTTTTTTTTTTTTTTTGTAAGTTTTGAACAATCTGCATTCCTCTCACAATTATGCATTACTTTTAGTACCCCCCCCCCCCCCCTCCAAAAACCAAAAAACAAAAAATTTTTTTTTTTCAAAAGGTCAAAAAAAAAAAAAA